TCCCCGTATGCATTGTATAACAGCTGGGTGTGTGCAATTTTAAGAGGGGAAGGGGGTGTGTGCAATTTTAAGAGGGGGAGGGTGTGTGTGAAATTTTAAGAGGGGGAGGGGGTGTGTGCAATTTTGAGAGGGGGAGGGTGTATGTACATAATTGAGAGGAGAGAAGAGGGTGCATTATTGAGAGTGGGAGGGGGTGTGTATCAATTACAAGTGTTTTGTAAATTACTTTTGAGATGTTTTATACTAAATATCAGATGTTTTTTTTATTCTTTTTTATCTTGTACTTAATATGTTTCTATTATTAGATGTTTTGTACTTTTGTTTTTTACTATTAAATATAATGTAATATATTAGATTTTTGTAAAAATAAATGTTTTGTAAAATTAGCCGTTTTGTAAAATTTAATGTTTCCAAATATTAAATGTTTCCTAATATTTAATATTTTGTAAGATTAGATGCATGAAGTATCTTATGGCTTAGTTTACTTTTTTTTGTCCCAAGGTGTTTGAATTTTGGTTGCTGAGCACTCCCCCCCCCCCTTTTTGAATTAGAAAGATTAGGGTGAATATACTGATGTAACCGGTATCTTAATGGTTTAGTGGGGTAGGAAATTGTAGGAAAACATAAAAAGTGGATTTACTAGTTTCTTCAACCCGTTTAGAAAATCTATCTTTTGTACAGACGATCAGGGCAATATTGGCAGTTTAGAACATTAAAATTCAATGATAGAAGGAATTTCATTTGACTCTTAATTTACAGTCTTGGTCTGATCAAGACAAAATGAGAGACTAATGTTGTTCTTTTTTAAAAATTGATTTTTTCAACTGTGGTTTCTTTCCAAACAAAAATACTTGCGGGTTTTATGCGGCAGATACAATGATGGATATCAGAATTCAAGACTTTTCAAGCTGGAAAAACGATGATATCTTCCACATTTTTGATCAAATAAAGAGTGTCATCGTGAATTAGACTTTACATAGAGAGTTATTTGAAATAGTTACAACAAGGGACTAAAAGATAAAGCTATTAACGAAATGGTGATGAATAAACGCATAGAAATTAAAAATGAATGTTCAGTATAAACAGATTGACGGCAGATAAAAAATCTGGATGAAAAGGTTTATCGAACGGAACGGAAAAAAGTAGAAATTATTCCATTGAATTTTATAAAAAGTTGTTCAACCACTGCATACAATTTGAAAATACACCTTCAAGTTGTAAAAACCACGGTCATAAACTCAATCTTTAGTTGAGTTAGAATTATCATTATTTCTCAAATATATCCATCCCGTTCTTTGAAACGCAGATTTTGCACTAAATTTTCCTTTACTCCAAGGTTTTAAAGGGAGTGTTCGCGAAAAATGAAAGGGGGTATAGGCTAAATGCGATAAAAAATCGCTTTTGATCGCTACTAATCTTACTTCTACCTGTTGCGTCTATAAGGAAAAAATTGTTAAAAACGACTCACACCGAAGAAAAATGCAACATTCAACTCGGATCGTAAAAAATCAATTTAATTCAAAACAAAGTCGAAAAATAATCGATGACTATTGTTTGTAATATCTGAATGATTTGTTTGGAATTAAATTGTTTTGTTTACGTCCGAGTTGAATGTTGCATTTTTCTGAATTTGTAAGGACAACGTTCTTCGGTATTAGTCGTTTTTAACAATTTTCTCCTAATAGACGCAACAGATAAAAGTAAAATTAGTAGAGATCAAAAGCGCTTTTATATTTTTATATACCCCCTTTCATTTTTCGCGAACACTCCCTTAAAGGTTTTAAAACTTTCACAAGTACCCATTTATTAGCTGGTTTCCTTATGTTATGAAGAAAAGGAAAAAAACTAAATTAAATGTAATTTTTGCGAAATCTTTTTAAATACACTCGTTTGTATTTATTGACTTTTAGAAAGTAAAGACCGGTGTCGAGTTGTCCCTTAGTTTCCATGTTTTGGGACACCCCCTGTACTTTATAATGTAATATCAAAAAAGCCTGGGAACCCAGCTTTTACTGGAAATTAAACTTTCTTTATAAAAGTCAACTTATTCTGCTTGGATTCTTATGGTTCTACAGGCAGACAAAGAGAGATCATAACCTTATCTTTATATCTGTATAAAAAAGTTGTAATCTCTGTTTGTCTGGCTGTCTGTTTGTTTGTCCGATTATAACCCATGAACCCCTTCACCGAATTGCCTCAAATTTTGATTCGGGATTTCGGAAGACCCACGGGAATCTTCTTAGTTTGGATTTAAGATTCTAAGTTAAGTGGGTCCAATTTTATAGTAAAAAAAAACTAAAATCGTAATTTACGGCCAAGTGTGGGTAACCGGCCAAAGTAATTATGAGTTTCCTGGGCAAAACTTGTTATCAAGCTAGTTCTATTATGAAATATCTATATGTGTGTGCACCCCCGTATGCATTGTATAACAGCCAAGGAAGATATACCAGGAATCCCAAAAAATATCTATATGTGTGTGTATCCCCGTATGCATTGTATAACAGCCAAGGAAGATATACCAGGAATCCCATAAAATATCTATGTGTGTGTGTACCCCCGTATGCATTGTATAACAGCCAAGGAAGATATACCAGGAATCCCATAAAATATCTATATGGGTGTGTATCCCCGTATGTATTGTATAACAGGCAAGGAAGATATACCAGGAATACCATAAAATATCTATATGTGTGTATTCCCGTATGCATTGTATAACAGCCAAGGAAGATATACCAGGAATCCCATAAAATATCTATATGGGTGTGTATTCCCGTATGGATTGTTTAACAGCCAAGGAAGATATACCAGGAATCCCATAAAATATCTATATGTGTGTATTCCCGTATGGATTGTTTAACAGGCAAGGAAGATATACCAGGAATCCCATTTATCTTTTTCACATAAAAGACGTCCTGCAGTTTGTTTCTTTCCTCCATAAACTAAAGAGTTTATTTCACGTAAAAAAAAAGATATGGAGGATCCTGAAAATCTTCCTTGTATATAGGTGTATTCTTATATAAATGTAGGCTGGTATAAACCAGAATCAAGAAATCTTCCTTGTATATAGGTGTATTCTTATATAAATGTAGGCTGGTATAAACCAGAATCAAGAAATTTTCCGTCATATTTTTCAAGAGTGGATGAGGGAGGGAGGGAGGGAGGGATACATACAGTGGTGGTACTTTAGGGGGTCACAATATTCTTCTTTAAAGGGAGAGAATGGGTAGGTAACATATTTAAACCGAGTAGTATTATAGAGAAAAATTTCATGGTTCAAAACAATAGTACGTTTTTATAGGCTTTAATTTCTAAGTAATTGCGTAAATTCTTGTAAACACTTTCTTTAGAATTACAATTATTTAATACCTCAGACGCAAAATGAAACAACCATTCTAACAGTAAACTAATTTGTTGCTTAGGAACATATTTCTCAATAGAAATTTTTGTAGAAGTCAGTGGTAGAATCAATTATTTCTTTATCATAAGTAAATATATTTTCTTGTTAATTGTAAAAAAACTGGACCGTACCTTGTGGTGAAATTTTGCAAACTTACTTACACTCTCACCTAGAAGTTATGCAATATTCAACACATGATAAAGCTTCAATTTTTTCCCGAACTTTAAAATCAAAACTAGCACTTATTTTTACATTATATTATTTATAGAATCTGAACACATACATATAATAATAGAAAAGGTATCTAGTAATATTCACAGTTCTGAATGTATTATTAAGTTTTTGAATAAATTATGAAGATCACGTTTTTTAAGAATACAAATTATTTTCCATAAAAGTCGGGTCTGGAACCACCATTGTTGTAATCTGGTTTTCTGTTTCCGGTTCCGGAATTAAATCCTCCATTTCCGTTTCCATTTCCGTTTCCTGGGTTGTATCCTCCGTTTCCATTTCCGTTTCCTGGATTATATCCATTGTTACCATTTCCGGGATTGTAACCTCCGTTTCCGTTTCCGTTTCCTAGGTTGTAACCTCCGTTTCCGTTTCCGTTTCCTGGGTTGTAACCTCCGTTTCCGTTTCCACTTCCGTTTCCAGGATTATATCCTCCATTTCCGTTTCCGTTTCTGCGCGGCATGGAGCACACGACTGCTAGCAAAGCGGCAAATATAATAATCTTAGTCGCCATTTTGTAAATTTAAAATCTACTGAATCAGCTGTTTCTTGTCTGTAGTATAGAAGGGTAACTGAACACTGAGTATAAATAGCTGGATTTTATACCCGAATATTTATCAGATTTCCCTGCTCTAAAGAGTCTAAAGTTCAAATCAAATTTCCAGATTAAAGTGCACATATCATATAGTCAGGCTTAGATGCGTATGTGAGTACACAATGCACAATACACGTTATCCAAGGGGGCATGGGCTTATTTTTTATACCCATATTACATTCTTGATGTGGGCTCTTCGAACGTTACTTTAATTTATCTTTAAAAAGCAGGGCTCAACTATATTTTTAAAAGCATGGCTCATCTTCATTTATTTCAAACAGCAGGGCCCATCTTTATTTTAAAAAGCAGGGTTCATCTTTATTTTGAAAAAAGCAGGGATATTTTTATTTCTGAAAAGCAGGGTTCATCTTTATTTTGAAAAAAGCAGGGATATCTTTATTTTTGAAAAGCAGGGTTCATCTTTAATTTTAAAAAACTTGGCTCATCTTATTTTTAAAAAGCTGGGCTCATCTTATTTTTAAAAAACTGGGCTCATCTTATTTTTACAAAGCAAGGCTCATCTTTTTTTTAAATCAGGGCTAATTTTTTTTAAGAAAGCAGGGCTAATCTTTATTTTTTTTAAAATCAGAACTGAAGTTTATTTTAAAAGCAGGGCTATTCTTTACTTTTAAAAATCAGGGCTCATCCCTATTTTTAAAAAGCAGGGCTCATCTTTTTTTTAAAAGCAGGGCTCATCTTATTTTAAAAAGCAGGGTTCATATTTTTTTAAGATAGCAGGGCTCATCTTATATTTTTGAAATCAGGGCTCACGTTTATTTTTTTAAGCAGGGCTCATCTTTATTTTTAGAAAGCAGGGATGATTTTTATTTTGAAAAGCAGGGCTCATCCGTATTTTTAATATGCAGCTGGCTAAACTTTATTTTTTTAATCAGGGCTCATCTTAATCTTTAAAATTCTTAAATTCTTAAAAAACAGGGATCAATCCCAATTTAAGAAGATGAGCTCATCTTCATCTTTAGAAAAGGTTAAATTCCCCTCTTTNGTAATCACTTCTGATAACTTCTTTACCTCCCCCCGTAATCACTTCTGATAACTTCTTTGTCAGCTCTATTTTTAATATAAACAATAATATTTCTAGTTGGAATTCTATGTGACTCGACACAAACAACGAGATAAAAAACTAGATGTAGATTTGAAACATATTTAATAAATATAAAAATTAACTATATGCTTCTTGGAAACCTTAAACAAGATTAAATGACTTTTTCCATAGCTTATTAAAAATCAGTGGGCCTTATAGGGGAGAGGTTGACATAAGATTTCCTACATACGTAAAGATTGTCTCATATTTTTAAAATAATTTACGGCATTTATTCGTCAGCATAATTTTATGAATAAAATTCTGAAAGTAATTAAAATACATTTCACCCTTGCATTTCCAAAATGCGGTCTGCCTTTTTTGTGCTTTCAATTTTACCAGAGAATTGAAGAGTTTTTTTTCAGATATAGATTATTTTTATTTCATATTATGAACTGAGGATGACGATAATAAAATGGTTAATTTTAGAGAGAATATTTATTTGATGTTTTATTTTCTAAAGTTTGAATTCCTTATACTCAAATTATAGAATTAATCCGGAATCCCTGCAGCCCTTAACTGCAACTTTATGCGTTTTATTTGGGATTTCCAAACTAATCCTTCTTTGTTTATTCTATGACGAATTTCAATATCAACAATATCTGTTTTCATATATATATCTTGATAAATAGTCTCATTTGATACAAGGTTACCCACAAAGGATGAGATATCAGAGACGACTGTAAGGAATTTGCTTGCAAATATTCAAGGTTTCCTGCAACTGTAAACTTGTTTCTTTCTTTAAAAATCATTAAATACAATAGTTAAGGCTGAAGAACTCAATTAAACCTTGCAGGGATCGCAATTTCTTATGAGTTTCAGGTCGTCTTTGCATTTTCATCTTGTATGTAAACCTGTATATACATAAATATACAGGGTGTCTCAAAAAGATTGTGCAGTAGGGATATTAGTAACTGGGGAAACAATTTTCGTTTAATTTTTACAATCAAGGTGTCATTCGAAAGCTCTATATTTCAGTTATTTCATGATGTAAAATTTTTCCTTCTAGGCCTCATACTTTTTTTGTTAAAACCAATTATTTGACCGTAAGTCGAAAATCGATATCCCGGATTTTTCAAGTCTCATTTTCATTCGTTCAGAAAGTATGGAAAAAATTAAAGGTTTCATTTTTAACTAAAATTTTGGATCAGGGATCATTACTTTTGGAGCTAGAGCAATCTAAAAATAAAATATGCTTTAAAGAGAAGCTTTTATAATTGATAGCTGTTTAAAAGCTGAATAGAAATCAAAATTGATATCGAAAGTCGTCTTCATTATATTGATATAATCGCCTACCACTGTATAAAACATTCAATTATGCTAAACAAATTTTATACAAATAATTCTTTTCTGAAAAACGTAAACAACAAATTGGTAAAAAGAATCGCTGCAAGTTATAAAATTATCTGCAAAAGAATCGCTGAAAGTTATAAAATTATCAGTCGAAGCATGTAATTGTAAATCCAATATTAATTAGAAAAAAATGTCTTATTATTTTTGCTTTGAAATTCTACGAAATTTATTGATGTTATTACAACTAGCCAATAGTGTTACTACTGGCTAAAAATCGAGTTCTTGGTGTGTTTCATGACCATTATTACTCTATCTAAAATCACAAACTGAATCAAATGTCTTTGTAATCCACAGTTGTATAAGTCACACTAGAATAAGAACTCATAAAGTCTCAGAAATATTCTTTTACTTTGAAAGCGGTATTTTCAACAGTTTTTTCTTTAATAAAACAGTGAACAGTCGAAATCTTGACGTTTCACTTCAGGAAAAAAATAATTTCTTTTTAAATTCTTAAAGATTGTTAATAAAATGAATTTAGGAACCCAAATTACCGTATCTACAGTCACATTGTCTATTTACTCAATGTTATATGTTGTTTTTTTCTCTGGTATGTCTGAACTTGAAACAACCTATAATTCTGGTTAGGCGGGTTCAAACTACATACTAAACTGTGATTTTTATTTGTATTATCTCGTGCTTTGTAGTTGGATAAAAATATGATGAATCAGGTTCTAGCTCCCTCTAGTTTAATGAATCTGCTCTGTCCTTTTTCCATTTTCTATGGCTCTGTTAGAAATCCTGGCAGAAAGCTCAGTAACTCTCCTGTTAAAAAAAAATTATTAAATTCTTTTTACTTACATTATTATCATAGACGCAACAGATAAAAATAAAATTAATAGCGATCAAACCCCAATTTAATTAGGCATCAGTCTAAATTTCCTTTCATTTTCCCGAACACTCCCTTTAAAGCTAAGACCCTTGAATGTCTAAAAACTGACCTTAAAACGTTGTTCATCCCTTATTTTTTGTTTAATTACCTGTAAAGATTGACCAGCTGGAACCCTGTAGAAACTGCTGTACACTTAAACACTTCACAATCCTCATCATTATCTTCAGCATTTTTTATTTCTCCCCATTTTCTTCCCTCCTCCTTCTCCTTCTCTCCAGAATTATTATTTTCTCCCCATTTTCTTCCCTCCTCCTTCTCCTTCTCTCCAGAATTCTTATTTTCTCCCCATTTTCTTCCCTCATCTGGACTTTTAAACCCGCGACTATAAAATAAAATGAAGATTCTAGGTTATATTCTTAAATTCTTTGCAGTTTAACTTGTCACTTGTTGTATATTATCAAGGGTGTAATGCAAGGAAAGTTAATTGCAGTTGCGTATACTCTGCGTACAATTGAAACCAGTTCTCTCTGGGCGGACTTTGTAAACAAGAATAGATGCATCAGTGTTCGTTTAGTATCCGAGGAGGTTAAAAGCATTAAATTTTGATAATTTTGATAATTCACATAATAGTTTTCTATGACCAGAATATTTCATTGATTTTTTATGTGAAAGATGGATCCCATGTCAGGCTTGCATTACATCCTAGTATATTATTACCTCTCCGTATTTGGACCTGAAAACGACATGTAGCAAACAGCTTGAAGGATACAATCCTAAAATAAAAATATTAACGTTAAAAAATATTTGAAAAAACTATAATAAGAAAGTTGCAAGAAAAATGTGAATAAGGAATAATAATAAAGATTTCTCTGTTTATTTTTGATAATATAACAATCCTTAGAAAAAAACACAACTAATTTAGATAATTGAACTTTCAACATCGACTTAACAAAAATTGATTGCAACTACTTCTTTAAAAGACACGATTAACACTGACAAAGGAAAGTCATAATTTATTTTTCTTTAGAAAGTTCTGGAAAGGTTTTGTAATATACATTTGTTACAACTGATTTTATAATTATAAATATGTCGTTACTCGTTAGTCCTTGCAAGCCTGATCTCGATATTCAATATAAAGATCAATGCCTATACCTCAATTAATGTTATCCGTTTATGGTACAGGGTGTCCCAATAAACATGAGAATTCTTTATAAATAATTCTTTAATTTAGAATAGTAATACCAACTGAGAAAGCTGTAATCTGTAAGAATTTCGTCTGCTATGTTTACAATTTGTTTTGTTTATGTTTTGACTGCATTAGGGTGTACTTAGTAAAACAAGAAAAATTGCAGTATACAAACAGAGTAAACTTGTCCGTCTTCACTGTTCATCTTGCGGAGACATAAAAGACACATCTTTACAGTCTTTTACCCTTTTCATGAAATAAGCTCTAGCAGACATGACTTTTGAAATTAGGTATTACAATGCTAATTCATAACAAAGACGATATCTAATTCGTCACTGAATTCCCATGTTTTTTGGGACACCCTGTATGATAAGTGACCATCACAGGATATCGGAGAAAAATTAAATCAATACTTGATTCCCCCAAGTTCTAACTTAATGGCTCTTTATTAGAAATAGTTAATTTGAAAATTACAAAAAATGAAAACGACAATATTTTCACTATTTACTGGATCCCGGCCATGCACTGTAAATGTATATAATAGATTAGCTTTCGATCCCGTTCTTCTATTATCTATGAGATTACCACTTCATATATTAAAATATCTACAAGTTTTATAAACCTGAAGATCAATATCAGAAGTCACCCTCTCCAAACCACCAGACAGTTCACCCCTCATCTAGGGATAAAATACAATTAAAAATGGTTTAGCTAAACCAAGGTTGTATAATAACGTTAGATACTCTGGATGCGCTCAAATGTAGTTAAAGACGATTTTTATGAACACTCTAAATCCTCATATGACGTCACTGCTTACTTCAAAGATTAATACATTTTGAAGCTCACTAAATATAAATGAACTCAAAAATTGAAAACTCGAAATAGAATAGCATTATTTAGCTTTAAACCTGTTAGCACAATCAATATTAGTTAAATGTATGATTGTTAGTTAAGTATCAATGACGTCATATGAGGATTTTAGAGTGTCCCTTACAATAAAGACGACATTATTTTTCCACGCATTCATTAATAGTTAATATTTCATAATATTTTGATTTTTTAAAAATAATATTGCGCTGGCGCTGGATTTTCGAGCATTCCTGGAAAATATGAAAATGTCGTCTTCATTATCAAAAATCCTCGAAACAGGAATAAATGTTTTCAAAAGTAACTCTCAGAACATGAAAAATAAAAAATATTATGAAATCTCAACTATATACGAATGCATCGAAAAATTATCGATGATTATTGTTTGTAATATCTGAATGATTTGTTTGAAATTAAATTGATTTCCTTACAATCCGAGTTGAATGTTGCAACTTTCCGTATTTGTATGGACGCTACGTTCATAAGTCGTTATTAATAATTTTCTCCTTATAGACGCAACAGATAGAAGTAAGATTAGTTGTAATCAAAAGCGTTCATTTTTCGCCGTAAGCCTATACCCCCTTTCATTTTTCGCGAACACTCCATTTAAATAAAAAAACATGCAAAAGAATTTCAAACTTATACCTGAGACAACAGTTCGGACAAATCAGGAATTAAGTTTAGAACAGACGCCATTTTCGAAGTTTCTAGAAATATTTATTTTAGTTTAGAATCAATTTTCAAAAAAAGGTCAATGATGGTATTTTGCCTGTTTTAATCTGGTAATGCATATTACACAGAAGAAAGTTCCAAACCGAACACTGAATGTCAGGTTTGAGGCAAATCACGGGTTGGAACTTTCTGTATTGAGAAGAATTATTTGCATTCTTAAAATTTTGCTTTGTGGGACTTACTGTATGTGTTATATCTATTATATTGTATATTTTTACGCCTATAATTTGCATTGCTAGAAAAACGAAATTGATTATTTGAAAAATAAAATCTAAAACGGAACCTTCATAAAACGTTAGTTTTATTGAGAAAAAAAATAGGTTTCAGGCATTTCAAAGAAAAGTTAATAACAAAACAAAACATGCAAACGCGCGAATCAAATGAAAATAAGAAAAATAAATGTAAGTATAAAAGATAAAAATTCTTACGCTCTCTGTTCTTGTTTTCTGGAATTCGACCATTTCTTGAGAAAGGTGAAATTTTTGAAAATTTTTCTTCTTGGTTTGGTTTGAACGGTCTTGGATTCGGTTTGAGTTTGGAAGTCTTTTGGTTTGGTTCTTTGGTTGGTTTAATTGGGGTGACGGGTAGGTTGGTTCCAATTTCTTTGGTTGATTTTTTTATTTGGCTTGGCTTGGCCGGTGTTCTATTTTGATTTGGTTTGGATGTTTTTCTGCTATTTACGTTTGGTTTGGTAAACTCGATCTTTCTCTTTGACACAGGAACCAGTTTCCTCAAATCAAACATATGAATTATTTACTGACAATAAGGGATTTTTAGTTTTCTTTTGAGAAAATAAAAAATCCCATTTGTACATTTTATATCTAAATCTTTTTCTATAAAACTGTTATTATAAAGAGATTGTAGACGTAATTTTAAGTGACCATACAATGCTTTTGCGAAGCTGGTAATGTCCGATTTAACGGTTCTCTTAAAAACTTGATCAATAATGTGGAAGATGTTTTCATTTTTAATTCTAGGTTTCAAGTTTGTTAGTTCTGATAATTTCTATATGTTTCCTGCAGTAAAAATCCGCAAGTTAATTTAGTAGAGAAACCACAATTATGAATAATCAGTTTCTAAAAATTTTATACATTCATTTCTAATTTATACTTATTCAGACTGAGCCTTTATAGGTACCGTTGTCAATCGGACATTGCTATCTGAGCTTTGAGGGTCACTTGAAATTACGCTTACAGTCCCTTTAAATGTGACCCACGTGCACCTTGAGTTTGGAAGTATTGTTGATGTCAGGCTGCTAGGTGAAGAAGGAATGATGGATTTGAAAATTCTGCTCAATAATTCATTTCCTTCACTTTCATTAGACAACTTCTTGTACTCTAGAATATAGATACAGTGAAAACCATAGAATTGTGGAATAAGAAGATTTCAAAAATTTATATTCCATTGAAATTTTCAGGCCATGAATTCAGATTTGAAAACCATTTAAGAAAGAAAGAAAAATTAAATTATTTCTAGCAAGATAATATCAAAATAGTTTAAAATCAAATTTTTTGCCTAATCTCACAAAATTTTTGGATTTTTTTATATTTTCAAGTAATCTTTTGTGTATTTGTTGTTGTTATAAAGCAAGGTTTAATCATTATAGCTTAAAATCAACTTATTAATCAAAATGGATCTGTGTACAATGTTAAATTTGTATGTATCATGTTCATGGATCTGTGTGCACTGTTAAATTTGTATGTATCATGTTCATGGATCTGTGTACACTGTTAAATTTTTTTGTATCATGTTCATGGATCTGTATGCACTGTTAAATTTGTTTGTATCATGTTCATGGATCTGTATGCACTGTTAAATTTGTATGTATCATGTTCATGGATCTGTATGCACTGTTAAATTTGTTTGT